TGACACAGCCGCTGGCCTACGCTGGAAGCGCTACGCTACGCTGCCGCAAAGTATAAACGCAGCCTTATGTCTCCCGAGATCCTGAGCATACAGGGTGCCAGAGCTACTCTGGTCACTGGCTTTATTTCGCAATATAGCCTTATCTGCCCGTCTTTGCGCGCGCATGGAGATGTGCCATTTCCTCTTTGGACTGTGTTGGTCACTTTTGGCTAACAACATGTTCTGCGCTACGAACCTATGACACATTAGCTCTTACTGTGTGCGAAATTACGCAATTGTTACTGAGCGCATGTCCTTTTCTCTTCTTAGAAAACTTCTCCAAGCTCTTGTCAGATTGTCGGTTGCTTGCCTCGTCCAACTCCATTAATGCGCGTTCATACTTCGCGATCCAGTCGCTCGGGCGTGCGATCGGATCGCTCGAGCGGATGGATCGCACTGCGACCGCGGGGCTCCACTGCCAATCGGTGGACCGCTGCAGGGTCAGAATTCAGTTGAGCCGCGTTCATGCACTGTATGAAAGTCGTTAGAATGGTTCATATATCCTGGAGTCTGGGTACAGCATCGTGATGTGTGAAATGGTGGTGTCATGACAACCTCCGCCGACCTAAGAGACGGTCTGGGTACGATCCCCCTCCCCAACACCTACCTACTAATTTCTCACATTTCCACTTTTTCACCCAAAAATTTTGCTGTCGAGCGATGGTGGGGGAGGGCCCAACGCGGCAATTTTCTCTCAAAGCCACATACGACCCCCCCCCCTCTCCCAACAACGACCCAATACGACCCCCTCCCAGCGGCCAAGTACGACTCCCCATGTGTTTCACACAACGATGTTGTACTCTGGCTAGAGCGATTTCCGCCACGAAGCTTAGCCAAAGTTATCACGAAAGTATTAACCTTTCTCCTCATCTTCAGTGCGGGAATCCCACCTTTGCACAAGGAGTTCTCTAAGGCGCTCGCTCCGTCCAGGTTATCAGCGCGGCAGCGTTCATACTTGGCGACGATTGTGTGTGTAGGAGAATGTGCGTTGGAGGGATGTATAAGTATCAGTCTAGCGGATTGGGAGAGAAGACTGATCGAGAGGGCGCGAACTGGAAAAACGCGTGCCAAAGGAATGGATGGAAATCGATCGAATCCCATTCTCTCGCTTCGCTCGAAGTTGGTCGACTTCCTTGGCGCGCATATTCCCGGTTCGCGCTCTCATGAATTCCGCTATTCTCCCAACACGCCAGATTAATACCCATAGTTTTTGTGGAGCGCATTCTCCTTTTCTCCGATTTTCCTAGTCTAACTGCAGTCACTGCAAGCTGAGGAAGCTGGGGCGTGTCAGATGACGCTTTGACGCTGCGCCGGCCCGTTCTCCACCAATTGCAGAAGCGGGCAAGCGACAACGATTAGTGGAAAACGGGTTGGGACCGCGCGCAACCCAACCCCTCGACACGCCCCACCGTTTGCAACGAAATGACTATAGGCGACGCTTGAGCCCCAAGAAATCTAGTCACTTTGTTTGGCATCTTACCACTGCGGTACTTCCAACCTCGTTCCATTATGCTGCTTTCGTTTCTGTTGTGCGGTCGGTTGTTTCTGCTGCTCGGTGAAGTGCCTTACGGATTAGAATAGGTACGTTATTCTGTAACGTTTGCAACCCCTAGAATTCTCGTCCTGTGAATTAAAGAAGATTCAAATATGCACTAGATTATTCACCCAAGTGCAGCTTCCGCCATTGATTGTGCTGAAGGCAGTGGTCATCATAATAGTTTCTGAGACAAACAATACCTTTCCTTACCCGTGACACCCATATCGAACCGTTCTACTTGTCAGCAAATGCTTCTGTCCAATGTAAAAAGTGAGAGTCCGATACTGTGTCCAGCTGTTGCTCAGGAAGGTCCACTATAGCTGGCGGCGCGGCCGAAGAGGCGATCGTACTGCGATGTAGCTGCGCTGTCGTCATCTGCGCAATCTTTGCTTGTGGCTACGCTCTCGATGCATGCACCCACCTTGAGGGCCGTTCGCTTGTCGAGTGAGGACCATTCCTCTGCTGACCGTGCCATGCTCTCTTCTTGTTAGTGGTGGCACGGGTGCACTCATATCAGCTCGATGACACTGCCGCTGATTAATGTGAAGTCACATTCCACGCAGATCTTCCACATCATTCGACTCGTCCGGATCACCGAAGTAATCAGATTTTTCAGATTTTGAAGTGAAATCCTGAATCGCCGCTACACGTTTGGCGGTATATCCAGGGCACGTCGTGGTGGCTTTACGTTGGCGGTGTACCAGGGCACGTGTGGTGGCAAGGGAAATTCCTGTTGAGTAGCTCGCTTCCGCGCAAATTTACCCTAAGCACGACGTCCTTCACAAAACCGACCAGCTCTTACAAGCCTTACTCCAAAATTTTAGTGGGGCGGAGCTAGACACATCATCGACCAATATCAGGGATGATGGTTTTGCGCCGACTACCGTAAGAGCACTAACTCCTGCTCTATGCGGACGCTGGAGTGTGATCCAGAGGTTGGGACCCACACGGCGGCAAACTGTTCGCACCCACGTGAGGTGGAATCTAGCACACAGACGACTACAATTGGTGGAAAACTGGCTGGCGCCGTATCAAACCCGGCCCCCTCACACGCCCTGCATTCGCTGCGAACGACACTGTAGTGCACCGTGAAATGGGAAAAATCAAGAAACAGAGAAAAACTGTCGTGGCAAATACGACCGCTTTGAGGATCCTTTACCTACACGTGCCCTTCTTTCTATCGCGATGACACTAATGAGGTTAAGAAAGCCTGATGTTACATAGTGATTCGGAAGAGTTCTACCTGTGAAACGTGTGGTGCGACATGTCATGAGAAGTGGTCGCGCCACACGACTCTTTTTCATTCCAAGCTGCAGCAGCTCCGTTCCATCTGCTTCGTTTGAGGGCACGGTACAGAATGAATCACGAGGTTACGGTAGCCATCTGCAGCGTGCAATCACACGATTGCACCTAGGCTCACACATATAAGTTCGCTCCATCAAGAAATTACGGGGTTTGATTCCTGCCTGGTGCCAGAAAATTGCTTATAATTCTGAACACTTGTGATAACTTGACGGAAATTTCGCTTGTTTGGAGAGATGTGTCCTTTTCAGAGTATTTTTTTAGATTTTTGTCTTTCTCTGTTTTTATTGTTTGCTGATTCTAGATTTAATATGCAGTCGGTGGTGGCGACTCGGGAGTAATGAAGAATTCTTCCCGTGTAAGCCGTCTGGTTCGATATCTCTTGATGACTTTCGTGAATTGCGGTCAAATTCTACGGGTAGCAGAATCCAAGCGCAGGTTAGCCCTGGTATACCTTTCCTATGATTAGAGACTTCCGAGGCATTTTGAAATGCCGTTTGTCTACCCGACAGTCACGTAATTTCGTCCTTTTTCAACGGCTGCGGAACTACTCGAACTTTTTGTAAAGGTCCTGCCACGAAAGGAGAGAGCATAAGCAGATAAGCGCGGCAGCTGCACGTGCATCTAAATTAGCAAAACGGCCGGTATTAGGATTTTCCAAGCAGGAATGGTCCACTCAGAGAAATTATTCTGGCTTTGAATTGTTCTGAGTTAGAGTTCAGAGTGACCATAGTCCAGGTATACCCAGCTGGCTGATAGTTGATGCTTACAACCCTATCTAAAGAATTTTCATCGTGGTGTTGTCGGGAACAATTATAGGAAGCGTTAGCGTGGATGGAGGGGGCCGATCAAGGCTCAGGTCTAGTAATTACTCAGCCTTCTCTATGAGACCATTCCCTGAAGGATCTGGTCGTCTGCGTTCTAGACCCAAGTGTTGTATGGGGAAAGGAACGCAAAGACATTGGCCGAGTGGTTCCTCTCTCCCCCCTCGCCTTCAATTCTCGTTAGCAACTAATGAAGTTATATGTTACAGGACTTTTTTCGTTTACCGTCCTCCTCTTCATGCATCCGAGATTCGAGGATGTACAATTTTTGATACGTGCGCCATTGTGAATACTCCTGATGTCATGGATCTAAGCGTTAAAAGTACGTCTTCTAAATATATTTAGACGATTAAGTCCGGAAATGAGTTGCTGCAAGCAAGTTTCCAGTGAAAGCGGATCTTTTTTTTTATGACTTGTCATTGTCAGAGTAAGGAAAGGCATGGACGTCTACTTGCTAAGTTCTATTGCACATTCCTTACAGGATGCGTTCATACTTTCGTCCGCATGCATACTTTGCGTCAGCGTTTTGGGCGTACGACAGCATTCTGAGCGTTTCGAGCGATTAGGAAAGTATAGGTATCGACCCAGCGTTTTGGGCGTCCACCAGCATTCGAGCGACTGGGAAAGTGCAGATATCGATCAAGCGTTTGAGCATACGCCAGCGTATTCAGCGACTGCACACCAGAAGCTTAAAACTGACGCTCGGAAAACGCTCAAAACGCTAGATTGATACCTATACTTTTCTAGTCGCTCAAAAGGCCCAAAACGCTGATGCTAAGCGTGAACTCAGCATGAGAATGCGTTCATTGCTTGTTAAAGAGGTGAATCCGCAAATCCGGAAAATCGGCGACAAAGAACTGGAACGAGTTTGTTGGCTCCATCCAAATGCGAGCATTCGCTGGTGAATGGAGTCAATCTGTCCTCATATAATCCCTGGTTTCTTCGGGCGGATTCTCTACAGTGGCAAAGTAACACAAACGAACATTCGGTATTAGGCCAAAAAGAAGCCCGAAGAGTCAGCTAGCTGCCGATGGCCCACTCTGCCCCACGCGGACAAATGTTGCACGATCACCAAGTGGCTCAGACTGTCGCCAGTGTGTCAACATAACTAAAACAAATTCTGTTTTCAGACCATATTCTTGTGTTGATTCCATTCCCAGTGTTATCAGAACTGGATCATTTGAATAAGCATAATGCTAAAGAGCAGTTGCGTGAGGTAAGCTCTTTTTCCACAATGTTTTTTTGAAGAACGACTGTTTAATATTTACGCTGAATACTGTACATTCAGAAAGCTCGAGTAGCAATGCGTCGACTTCGTCAATTGCTTTCAAGCAGATACGTTGAGCTGGAGGACTCTAATGATGTAAGGGCTTGACTATAGTCACTGTAGCACATTGATTTATCCTTTGGCCACCTTCAGACACACTTGAATCCGAAGTGGTGAATAGTTTCCAATTTCATTGTAATCGGCGTTTACATTCTTTAGAAGAGTAGTAGGGCAGGATTAGGGCTCCAGAGTCAAATTCATAACTTCGGTGCTGGATATAGACCTCTTTGCTAGAGTAGTCGGGACAGAGAGCTGTCTGCGTCCTTTGCACTCGTCTGCACTCTAAGGCTCACGGGGAATGGAAAAGCCAGTGGATGAATTTCAGCTCCTCAAACCAGTTCCTGCGAGGTGTTACGGGTAGTGGGTGGATCATAAACTAGTAGCCCATAAGTAACTCCCCTGTAGAGGAAGAAGCGAAAAATAACCTTGAGAACACTCTGAACAGAGACCCTCTTAGCAGCGGGGCCGGCTTCTTGGACGAGTTCGTGGATGTCACACGCAGAAAAGACCGAGTCAGCAGTAGGTCAACGGGCACGCAGCATTACCGCAAGAGCACAGGAAAATCACTCTACCACACCGCACGATTCCAAGCGCTAAGCTTAACAAATAAGCCGTTTCGCTTGTAAGCAGTACTGTAATCCGCGATGTGAAAGTAATCGTGCTTGCACGATGGTCTGCAATAATCACGGCGTCTCTAGCAATCTGTTTAAATTGCCGGTATCAAAAAACGAAAGTGTATACCCTTTGGCGAATCGACGGGACAACGGTGCCAAATGCACGGAGGCATTTCGCGGCACCACTTGATGGGGGACTGTCTTTTAAAGAGCGCAGATGGGCAGAAAACTGCGTAACTTGGTTCCACTGTAAACTCATCCCCATCATCTTAGAAGCCTCTTATTTTCTGGCCAGGGTGCAATACTTCATGCAAGTCCTCAACACTCCATCCTTTTGTGCAATATCCTGTTCCATTTGGTGGGGCTGGAAATGGCCATATAAGTTTGTTCTTTGTCCAAAAAAGCCGCTACTGTATTAAAGGGTTAAGCGACTCTGTGACAGAGTGTTTTCTTCCCTTCTAAGCTTAACCTTAGTAGAGAACAGAATGTCAGATTCCAAGCGTCTCGAGAAGCGCAAGGGAGCGAACTTCGTCGCGCCGCGATGTGATCCCCATCAATCACTGCAGCAGTCAAAAAAAGTTACATCCATTAATGTTTTTTTCAGTCGAAACAAGATGTTGATGGGATGGTCGCCTACAGCAATGACGAACGCATTCTGAAATGTGCATATCGAATCCAGACCGCATGTAAGTCACTTTTATTTTAACACATCTTAACTCTGGTATGGCGTTCATTGTGATGAGACTATACCGCACCGTCCACTACCGCTTCTCGCTGGACAGTTGCAGCGGTCGAAAGAAGGATGTTCATTTATGTAAGGTGAATGCACGCTGTGGCAGTCCAATTCACTTCCTTTAACCAAGGCTTAGAATTAGCAGCGCGCTAACAGTTAATACATAGTTACGAAGAGCGGACACAGCAGCGCTGCCGCTTGCCACTTCCCTTTCCCGAACTTAGCACGAGAAACCTGTGATTAGCTGTAGAGAGCTATCTGTCGCGTACGCGAAGCGAGCGCTTAAATCGCTCAGGTCGCGAAGTATGAATGTAAGTGTGCGATGCGACTTTCATAGTGACCAGTAACTGTCTTATTAAATTCTTTCAAGTTGTAATGGTTGTTTAGTGCCACCTGATAGCCATCATGCTGATAAAATCATTTTTGTAACCGACGACTGCAATCTCTCGCTGAAAGCAGCTGCCCATTCTGTGAAATGTATGTCATCTGAGGTGCGTTGAATTGACTATTGACTATTGACGAACAACGTTGGGGTAACCAATATTCTGGCATTTAAACATTTTTCCTTTTCATGATTGGATCTCTTCACCTTGGCACTCGCGACTTATAGCAATTACGAATATTCGCGGTGGGGCGGGACTGTAGTAGAATGTAGAGATTTCGGTACCTGCATAATGCTAACTCAGTTGGAGAGGGCCACGCCTCAATTGTAAACTGCGGAAGTGATCTGCTTCATACCAGGCTCGGATTAACAACAGTGCGGTCGACCGCTGTCACTGAATGACCCGCTCCAGCTGTTAGGTTGGCTCATGAGTGATGGCGCTTTTTTTCTTACACAATTTCTATATGAAAAAACGGATCGTCTCCAATTTCAGAGATAATTTTCCGCTTTATAGGACTGTGTGATTCCCTTCGTGCTGTTTCATGATTTTTGTCGATTTTTGTTTCATTGAAATGGGATGTTGGGTCCACACGAAAGTGTGTTCTTGACAACAACTCTTTTTACACTTTATCTCGGCTGCCAAATCACGGAAAAGCTCAAAACTTCTGAGTTATATGCTGCTTGCGATAGCTTGCAGTTAGTCAAGCGATCAAGAGATGGAATTTCGTCCTTGTAAATGTGCACTGCCAGAGGGACCCTCTTGGTGAGAGACTGCATGCGTATCTACACATTAATTTTGAACGTCTAATATCAACTGGGAGTGATGCCTGGTAATGATAAGGAAGCGTTTAATGACCTGCAACGATTCCTCATTCTTTGACAGGATTCTTCTTGAATAGGTGATTCAATAAGCTCTCAGCTGGACTCACTAGTTTCGATGCTTTTGTGTGATGTCAAAATTGAAATAGTTGAATGGCGTAGACCGTTATTAGCATTTTTAAGAGAGAAAAGCATCTTTAAGAGACACAGTTTCTCAGTATTTCTCAGCCGTATACTCATCGAATAGGCCTCTCCGACTTTAGCTTCTAAATTTTATGTAAAAAGGGGAGGCTGTTGAAAATGCTCAATTTCGTCGACTTGGCACTCCAGTATGAGCACTTAAATATATAGGGAAACATAAAAAAAACGATGGGACTATCACATAGGGCAAGGAATTCTCTGCAAACAGTGTAAAACTCAATGGCAAAACTTTACATATATAACGCCATATCTTTATCTTTTCGTGAGGAAAAAGTGAGGAAAGTAAGCCATCACTTATGGGCCCACTCAATAGGTTATCGCCCTGAAATAATACGAACGGACCACGCCGCAACTCATCCTGTGTCCTTCCCCTTTCCTGGGCTCACTTTTAGCGCGAGTCAGCGTGGCCCATTTTTTATATCTTACGATGCGGATGATGACAGTACGGTAACTTCAGTAGGCGAGAAATCATACACCGTAATCCAAAGGAGCCGTAAATAAATCTGGTGCACACCAAACACATCATCTCACGACAACAGCGTCGAAATTGCATGGACAACGCGCGTATGTGTTGTGGTTGCTATCGCATCGAGCATTTTTTGAACGTTTTGGGCGAGAAGAATGTGTAGATATCGATCTGGCATCGACACCTACACTATACTTTTCGCTCAAAACGCTAGCATTCCGCTGATAAGATTCAAAACGCTAGGTCGATAGCTAACATTCCTTTCGCCCAAAACGCTCGAAACGCTCAAATGCAGACGAGAATTATGAACGCAGCTCACCGCAACCCAGTTCAAGTAGTTTTGTCTTCATTCTCGATCAAATAAGAGTCTGTTTAGGTTTTAAAAACAACACGACTGCATCGGAATGGGAAACTTTTCGCCT